TTTTATAATTTCATGCGGATGAAGCCGCACGGGAACAGCCAGTTAAAATGAAATGTGGCTACTAAGAAAGTGGATGATCAGAGAAAGTATAAATATATTGTGTGAAAGATAATCTTAAAGGTTTGGTTTCAGATATGAAAGCCTATAGATATATTATGTCGACCGTTTGTTAATACAGTATTTTAAATTATAGAGGTTTTAAGTTATCACGGGTCTATGTTGTAGAGGTTTTGGGATCTGACGGGAAGGGAACATATTATTTTTTGAAGTTATAGAGGTTTTTAAGTTACCGATGTTTGAGTTATCGAGGTTCTACTGTACAAGTGCAAGTATGTGATGAAAATAGAAGATATAAATATAAGTATACCTTGAGTTGCGCGATGTTGTCGTAGGCGGTGAAGGCGGGGTCGTGCGCCAGCACCGGCACCGCGAACACCAGCATGTAGTCCGGCAGGATGTGCGGCAGCTGGCTCACCGCGCGCTCCACTGCACACATATAAACATTATTAAAAAAACATCTTTATTATAACTAGATTTCGCCATTGAAAGCGACAAAAAGAGTCAATAAGTATAGAAATGAAGACGAGACAAGCACGCGACTTATCAAATGTTATTGTTTTTTGACTATTTTTGACTATTCGATCAGCGATTGTGATAATCGAATATTACTTTGTCTAAAGGGGCTGACACCAAATGGTGGCAAGTATGTATAACGTTATAACAGCGTTGGTGGCTCAGTGATTTAAACACTTGACTTGTAATCTACTAGTTTTGGGTTCGAATCCTGCCATGTACCAATGTGATCTTAGATTTTTCATGTGTACATAATTTACCCAACGTTCTTACGGTGGAGAACATCGTGATGCTTGCAAATATCGGCGAAAAAATTCAAAGATATGTGTGAAGTTTTTTTTTTATATCATGAGTGACAAAAGAGCAAGCGGTCACTAGAATCCACCAAAATGGCGAAGCGACCGCTGCCCATAAACATCCGCAATAGCGGATGCGTTGCTTATCCTTAATCGACGGAGGAGGAGACGCACATAAAGAGGATATTTCCCCTTCCTATGAATCTCCTCCACCGTCAAATCCACGTTCTCTTCCCAATCTATTCTTATAAAAGCGGTGGGAAGGAAAAGGGATCAAAGTTGGGCCTCTGGTACGACACTCATCAGACTGTACGCGGAATTGCTTCCACTTCACGCCTGTCTTCTGTGTGGTCGTAGTATTTCACCGGGCGAGCCGGCCTTGCAGAGCTAAGATGTTAAAGCGGGCACTACCACTGTAGTCAACCCGCAGTGCAGCGTGGTTGCCTATGACCTAGTCACTCTAACTTAATGTATGCTCCGAGCCCCTCGGTGGTGAGGTGAGGTGGTGACGTATGGTGAGGTGATGACGTATAGTGAGGTGGTGACGTATGGTGAGGTGGTGTCGTATAATGAGGTGGTGACGCATAGTGAGGTGGTGACGTATAGTGTGGTGGTGACGTGTAGTGTGGTGGTGAGGTGTAACGTACATTTGGTGCCCACGGTGATGTTGCGCACGTAGTCGCGGCGGCGCACGACGTCGGCCAGCATGTACTGGCGCACGAGGCTGCGCACGCGCCGCTCCGGCTCGCGCCCCGCCAGCGCGTACATGCCCATGAAGTCCAGCGGCAGGCACTTGTTGGGGATACCCTGCATACACACATACTTATAAACTAGCTTTATCTTACGACTGCGTCTGTGTGAAATAACAAAATGTTGTTTTTTAACTTCACGGCTTTGTTACAGATAACGTAGTTTTTTTAATGGTAGAAGTATTTTTGAAATCAGCCCAGTAGTTAAGTTATTTCAATACATACAAAAATACCAAACTTCCCACTTTGTAATATTAGTTTAGATAGCATAAATAAGATGCAGTTTGTGAAATAATGGACTTTTATATCAATGTGAATATATTTAAAATATAAAAAAGTGAATTTAAATAATGACCAATAGGATATACGGATTTTTCTAGTAAAAAGACTTTCTTAATTAAAAAAAATGGTTAGGTTTAGAACTAGGCGAAACATTGAAACATTTAAAAAAAAAATATTGAATTCAAATTTTATTAATTAAAACTAACTCATATACATTACCTTTGAAAGTCCTTTATGAAGCTTCGCCGCGAAAAATTCACGAACTTGTGGTACTTCATCCTGATACAAAAGTATTTTCATTACAATTATATACTTCTAGCTAACTTCAAATAACAAACCTTTCTACACTATTTCTATTCTAAACTTCGTAACTTTCAAAATTTATACGAGAAAAACATTTTTATTACATTATTTAATTATTTCCAAGTAATAAAAAAAGTATTAAAATGCCACTAAATTTAAACTTGTAAAATTTTTTTAAAAAATTAAAATGTATCGTGATACATTTTCATTGCTACTAAGTGTACATACAATCATAAGATGTGAGAGGTTGTAGAACTGCTCTGCAGTGTACTGGTCGCCGACGCCCTTCTGCTCGCAGATCTTCAGCATGGCCGCGCCCGCCGCCAGCCGCAGGTGCGCCATCTCCGCTTTTGATAGCTGATTTTGCTGGAAATACATCAAAATAACTATTAAAAAAATTATAAGGATATCTACTAAAAAGGTACAGATAATACGGTTAAGAATTATAGGACAACTAGCAGTTTAAAAGTAGACTAGAAAACTTTACTATTACCTGAATACGCTAAAAAGGGGAGCGATCGCTGCCCATAGACATTCTCTATAGCGGATGTATTGCCTACCCTTAATTGATGGAGGAGACTCACATAAAGAGGATATTTCCCCTTACTATGCGTCTCCACTGTCAAATCCTCTTTCCCTTGTCATTTTTTTCTTATAAGAAAAAGTCTGGAAAGGGACTAACGTTGGACTTCCGGCACCACACTCATCAGACTGTACGCGGAATTACTCCCAATTCACGTCTGTATTTGTGTGGTCAGGGTATTTTTTGGGCGTGCCCTACAGTGCGAGGATGTTTTTTACGCCGTCTCTTTTCTTCCAACTTGTTTTTGTTTTGACTTGTATTGCGGCATGGGCTAGGAAGTTCCCAGCTCCACCACGTACCTGGAGAAGGTCTCCCTTGTGCAAGATGAAGGCATTAAGCATTCTGAACGTCTTCTGTGCGGAGAGCTCGTCCCGCTTGAGGCCGAGCAGCCAGCGCGCCATGCACTTCAGCCCCTCCAGCTTGCAGCGCGTCTCCTCCGGCAGCTCCGACTCTGCGCACCACTCGCCCGCCGGCGCGTTGCACCCGCCGCCGCCCTCGCGTACTAACAACTCCTTTACTATCTACATACAAAAAAACATTTTTTTTTCATAGAAACATATGAAATGAAGGTTAGAAGTAACCTATTTAATATTAAAACTGCTCATCAAAAACAAAAACGCATCAGCGATACCGTAGACAAACTTTTTGAAAATCTAATCTTATTTTTTTCAAATTGATTTTTTTTCAGTATTTATAGATACTAGAATTTTATTATTCGCTTTAGATAAAAGGAAACAGAATCCAAAATAGTTAACCTGTTTTTGAGATTAGCGCACACAAACACACAGACAAACGTATAAAAATATCGAAATATTCCTAATACTCGTTTGTCAATTAAAATATTCTATACAAGATTATAAAAACGTAAGATTTGTATTTTTGTATATATTGAAATGACTCAAAAACTGGACTGATTAAAAATAATCATGCACCATTAAAAAGCTATTTTATCACTTTATAACATAGGCTACATTTTTCCGCGGGCGAAGTCGCGAGCTACAACTATATTTTTTACATACAAATACCAACTAATTTCTTCTTTTGTACAATGTTTGGTTTAATCGTATATTCGCGTCTCATATCGTTATAGCGTCAGTGATTCAGTGGTTTAAGCACTTGACTTGTAATCTACAGGTCTTAAGTTCGATACCCGCCATGTACCAATGTGATTCTAGATTTTTCGACTTTTCATATGTACATAATTTACCCGACGTTCTTACAGTGAAGAAAAACATAGTGATGCCTACACACATAGTCAAAGAAATTCAAAGATATATGTGAAGTCAACCAACCCGCAGTGCAGCGTTGACTATGTCCTAGTCACCCTAACTTAGGGTAGGCTCCGAGCCCCTTTTACTCGAGTGGCGAGCTAAGGGGAAGCTCGCCACTCCAATAGAGTAGCAGAGGGCGCGTGGTTCTCCGCGCAAGAGTGGATTAACATCAGAGGAGGCGTAACAGCCAATCACCACCGGGGAGTGGATGAATTCTTCTTGTGGGCCCACACCCCGGTGCCCGGTGAAACGATGGAGACAGTGGGGTTTTAGTTGGTATGCTCCCGCTTATCGGGAGAGAGTCCAACACAACTTCCGCGCCTTTTCCCTCTTAGGGAGCGGTGGTATGCGGTGACGCATTTCCCCACTTAATAAAAAAAGGCTCCGAGCCCCTTAGTGGGGACGTATAGTGATCTGGTGCTGATGAATCGTATATTGGATGTTTTACCTTCCTGGAGACGATGTTCTTGATGTGTACGGGGAAGGCGTCGGGCAGGTTGTGCGCGAGGTGTCCGAGGGTGACGATGGCGGTGCGGTAGTGCTCCGAGTGCGGGCTGAGCGTGCCGCGCAGCGTCTCCAGCATCTCCGTGAAGATCTGCCCGCGCTGCTCCGGCACGTTCACGTACAGGCATCTGGGTAACAAATTGACAACGACTTACTCATCATCATCTTTCTCCTTATCCTACTCTCTTAGGGTCCATATAACTCTATCATACGTCATCTCAGTCATCACTCCCTTCTTGATCATGTCACCTTTCACGCAATCCATCCATCTCTTTCTATGTATACCTCTACCGGTGAACCACTTTCATAACTAACTCCCTTCTTGTAAAATGCAATTCATCTCTTCTCATAACATCATCCTTTATTTTATTGTTTACATTTGTCAAATTAACAACCTCAAATGTCAAATGCTCAAATGACAACGTAGGACTGTCATTGGATAACAATTGCCGTTACCATGGCAACCTAACTACCTTGTTGTCAGTTTATGAACCCTTTTCCACATGAAGGTTTTTTTTTCAATTTATTATTATATATAGCCAGCGCTATAGCGAGACGTAAATTTTTATTAAAAAAAAGAATTATTTGTGTGTGTTTGCGTTTTATATTAATACTAGCTGTTCCCTGCGTCTTCATCTGCATTAAACTATGTAAATTTTATTTGATTGTTTACATTTGTCAAATTATCAATTGAAAATGTCAAAATGAAATGACATGATGATAAACCATGACAAACTTGTTTCCTTGATGTTGGCAGCTTGTAGTTTATGGTCCCTTTCCCATATAAGGGGTTTTTCCAATTTATTTACCCCCAAAGTTTAATAGAGTGAAAATATATAGCCTAAAGCGTGTCATAAGTGTAGGGTTTTTTTTATTAAAGAAAGAATTATTCAAATTTATGCTATGATTGCTGACAGGCTACGCCACAAAAAAGTGTGTGTTTACGCTTTATTATATTAATATAGAAGTATAGATTGATACAGATTGAATTGTTTACAAATTGACGTTTTATATTTTAACAATGAATCACCTAAACAAATCGAAACGGAAATATATGATTTTTATTGTAATTTTCTACAGATTTAAGTCAAATAAAGGTAATTATAGTGCATATATTTGAAACATAGTATTACCTGACAGCATTCTTAGCTTGTTTTGGTGTCCCGATTTCAGCGTACGCTTTACACAGATCTATCAATTTCGGGAACAAAGAAGGACACGCCTCACCTGGAATAAAGAAAAAATATTATAAGCATTACATCGAAATTCTAAAAGACAGTACGAAAATTTGCAAGATTCGCATCGGGTTCGATGACATTTTAATGAACAAACTTCATACAAATTTAAAAATCTCTCAAACCATTATGCTAGGCACTTCTGCTCTTCAATTCAAACCTACAACCGTAGGCTCGATAATCTCTTTTTCCATTACGCCATTGGTGAGTATAAGTAAACGGTATGGTTTCGCCATAATAGCGAAGGTATCTCTGCCCATAGACATTATATCAATGCTTGAATGGATCAACAGATATAGTTTACAATTTGAAATAAGACTTATTTCTAAGTTTTTTTTTTGCGAAAAAACAAAGACTACACAAAAAACAAAAAAAAAATACCGTTATCTTAAGTTACTATTTATGTTTATTTTAGTTAACACTAGGAAATGTGTATATTGAGGACCACAGTTTTTTTTTTCATAACGTAAGGTGGCAAACGAGCAAGCGGCTACCTGAAATCGCTAAAATGGCGAAGCGACCGCTGCCCATAGACATCCGCAATCGCAGATCTACCCTTATACGACGGAGGAGGAGACGCACATAAAGAGGATATTTCCCCTTCCTATGCATCTCCTCCACTGTCAAATCCACTTCCCCTTCCCAACCTCTCCTTATAAGAAAAGGGTGGTAAACAGAAAGGGACTTAAATTAGGCCTACGGCACCACACTCATCAGACGAAACACGGAATTGCTTCCATTTGACGGCTGTCTTCTGTGTGGTCGTGGTATTACTGGGGGCGTGCCGGCACTGCAGTGCTAACATGTTAAAGCGGGCACTACCACCTAAAAACATTTTTGGAAGGCATTGGGAAAAATTATATCCAACAGTGAGCAGAGAATGACTGATGATAATGGAAGATGATGGAGACCGGTAGAGGTAGACGTAGAAACAGATAGATGGTTTGTGTGAAAGGTGACATGATCAAGAAGGGAGTGATGACTGAGATGACGGATGATAGAGTGCTTTGGAGGACGAAAACCCGGTGCGCCGACACTACGGGAGTAGGATAAGGCAGGGGAGATGATGATGATATTGGTAGATGATGGTGATAGTGATTATAATGGTGATGAATGTATATATTGTGTATTTCCAATAAAAGAAACTTACTCAAAGGTCTATATTTGCCGAGGAAGGTGAGCGCGGCCAGGATGTGCGGCGCGACGGTCTCATCATCCATCTCCAGCATGGAGGTGAGGCGGCCGAGGATGTTCTCGTGCAGGAAGTGCGCCGGGAACACGAACGACAGCATCACCAGCAGCTTCAGCCCGCGCTCCGCCGCCTTCTTCAGCTCTATACCTGGATGGCAAAATTACCATACATCTATACTAATATAAAGAAAGATTTTTATTTTTGTATGTATCTGATTCACGTAAAAATTACTGGGCTGATTTTAAAAATTCTTTCACCATAAAAAAGCTACGTTATCAGTGAGTAACATAGGCTACATTTTTTTATATTAAATGTTATAAAGAAAAGTATTTGTATATATTTTTGTACACATTGAAATAACTAAAAAACTACTAGACCAATTTCATTTTTTTCACTGTTTATAACATAGGCTATATTTTTTAGTATTTGCAAATTTAACTTGAACGAAAGCGGGAGCATGAACTGGCATTTGATAGTCTTAAAGGTAACTGTACGCGGTATGTGAATTGCTTGAATCGTAGTTTGTTACGTTGCAAGGAACAAGGCAACTTTTCATTAAATAACACCGCGGGTTTCCGCGACTGTACTTTTATTTCTGACTAACTGTCACCTGCGACTCCGTCCGCGCAGAATTAAAAAATTGTTAAATAACCTCTGTTTCTTCCAGATTATGTCTATTCAAAATTTCATTGAGGTGCAACCGTTTAGGTTCTAACAAACATCTATCCAAACTTGCATACTTTCGCATTTATAATATTAGTAATATTTAAAAATATATATTAAAAAGGTATGTTTATTGTCTACTCCAATATGGGTCTGGATGAAATTTGACATAATTTTATTAGTCTGGAATAATCAATACATAGCTTAACAAGTTTGTTTTTTAAATCGAAGCGAAAGTCACGGTCACAAGCTAGTGTTTTAAAGTTACTTACCACATTCCTCAGCGATAGAAGTATCTGTTCCTTTAACCGCTCCTTCTACGTACTCGACCAATATGAAGAGCGAATCATGATCAATCATGACTGAGCTGACACGCTCCAGCAACATCTTCACGGTGTTGTAGTACAAGTTGGTCATCACTGGCTGACCGAGTTTCTTTAGTACGCTTGACTGAATTACATACAAAACATTGTAAAACAAACATGTTACATTAATTGCTGCACTCTGAGTGGTGTAGTCACTTAGGAAGCGAAACGACCGAATACTGAAAGGAACCAAGTTTACAATCCGATAGACGTTATTTGTAAGGAATTTGGAATTTAAACGCAATATTTAAATAACGTTTCAGTAATCGGCCGTTAGATTAAAATTATGGAGAGAAATTAACACCTATAGATGTTCAAGTTGGTGAATTTGACGTTATTGTGAAAATAGACAAATTAAGATGGTTAAATCCATTCAAAAATATTGTAATTACAATAAAATTGTGAGTATAGTTAAATTAAAAAGGTAGTTTTATTTAAATTTAGGAGAAAGATTTAAAACAGGCTATAAATCTAGAGATCTTAGGAATATATAGAGTAGGAATAGTTGAAACATTTTTCTCTTCTTTAAATGTTTACATTTTATTTTTAACGCTTTTGCTTATTTTAAAACAAAACATAGAGCTTTTTATAATTTTGTAAAAAAAAAACTATGACATGTCAATACAAGGACATGAGGTGGCACTATTAACAACTAATATAATACCTTTCAGAGAAAATACCAGTGAAAAAATGTTCCCTATGTCTAGTCTATATTCTTAAATGTCTTTGTATAAATCAATTGGATTATAAATTAAATCTAAATATTAAGATGGATGTGTGTATTAGAGAAAGTTTGAGAGAACAGTAGTGGTAGAGAAGGTGAGGAGTAAAAGATTAGCTTGGTATGGGCATAGTATGAGGAGGGTTGAATCGCATAACAAGACGGACATTAGTTATGAGTTTGGTACACTGGTAGAGGTAGACGTAGAAAGAGATGGATGGATTACGTGAAAGGTGACATGATCTAGAAGGGAGTGATGACTGAGATGACGTATGATAGAGTTATGTGGAGGACAAAAACCTGTTGCGTCCCTCCGGGAGTAGGATAAGGAGAAAGATGATGATAATGATTATAGTATAAATTAAATCTAAATTAATAAAATAACTCACCGTAGTCTTAACGCAAACTTCACAGCTGACATTCGGATTCAATATGGTCTCCATACCCTGAAGTAGTTCCGGCGCCTTCTTCATATGTTGTGAGAACTTGTTCAGAAATTCCTGAGCTTTCACCGACTCTGGTAGGAATTTAGTACTAATATGTAGTACTTTCGCTATCATTTCCTTCTGTACTGTCGGAGTTGGAGGTTTCCTGTGCAGATCTACCCACTCAGCGACGGTCCTACGCACCGCTAATTGATGTTTTTGCAACTCTATGAATGCTTTTGTTGCATTATCATCAACATTTGACATTAAATAATATAATTTTTTCATCCGTACTGGCGGTGGTAATGTATACGGCACTAGAGATGTATTTAATAATCTTTCCACCAGCAATCTATCTTCCAAAGCAGTCATATAATACCCATGGAGTATTTTATCTTTTATCCACTGAACGGCTTTCTCCGTAGCAGGAGGTACTGAACTCTCTGTTAAGAATTTTTTATAAATCATAGCCAATCCTGACATGGCCTCCTTTCTTATTTTAAATTTCTTATCCAACGTACGTTCTCTAACAAAATGTAGGAGATCCTCGGATTCAGCGACCGCTTGGAAATCTTTCTGTGCGGTTGCGATTATCGCCATGACAACTTCGTAACGGACTTGTTCGTGAGCATCGTGTTGTCTCATTTTTAACGTATCAGTTATATCTTTTCTTAAATCCGGATGATGTACTAGAAAATGCATACAATATTGGACACATTTGATCCTAACTGGTACGGCGATATCGTTAAAACGACCTAAAAAGGCACGCCATAGTGCGGGATATTGTTTAGCGAGTTCTGAACCCGGTTCTGAGAACATACGAGCGAGTAAAGCGACCGCACTAAGTCTTTCTTGGAACTGAGCGGATTTAAGTTTGCATTCTAACTGTGGCAACACCGACAATAGTAGAGATGGGCAACACTGGTACAGTTCATATATTAGCTCGAATACTTTTGAAAACATAAGCAGACTTTTGTCTTCCTTCCCCAGTATGAGGACATGATTAAAGAACTGAAATTAAAAAAAAATTACATTTAGAACTATACACTCAAAATCATAGCAAATCTATAAAATCTATATTGTTTTGTTTATAATAGTTATAGTGTAACAAAGAATATAAAAATCCTAGCCTATTGGCACATCAATCAGCTTTATTTTTAACTTTTTAATGTGTGAAAAATAATTGGTACCTTACTTTTAAGCAGAGCAAGACTTTAATTACTAGTCAAACTATAACCAGTCATATTAACCAATATATTAAGTTGTTTCCACTGATTAACACAAAAACAGAATTTTACACAGATTTAAAAAATATATAGATAAGGCATAATGACACTGCTATTGAGACATTTTTCACATAATCTCACTTTATTAATAGATCTTCAAAACCATTAATTTGTATTTTAATTAGTTACTAATAAAGGTAAATAAATTCATAGATTTGCGTTTCATAACACTGTTTATTTTATTTCATAACAAAAGACAGACTTTATTATTATTTTGCCAATGTTTTATTAAATGTCTATACAAGGACACAATACTTTCAGAGAAAGTACCGGTAAAAAAAATGTCTTATGTGCCTAGTCTATACATATTTTAATGTCTTTGATTTCACACATATCTATACTATTATAATAAAGCGTAAACACACACTTCTTTGTTGCCTAAGATGTCAGCAATCACAGCATATTTTCGAATAACTCTTTGTTTAATAAAAAGCCCTAAACTTACGTCACGCTTTAGGCTATATATTTTCACGCCAATAAACTTAGGGTGTAAATATTTTGGATAAAAACCATAATGTGGGTAAGAGACCATAAGTTGTTGCCAACATCAAGGTAGCAAGATTGCCATAGTAAGGTAATTGGTATTTTGACATTTACAATTGAGAATTTGACAAATGTAAACAATAAAATAAAGTTTTTATAATTTCATGCGGGTGCAGCCGCATGGGAACAGCTAGCTACATCATAAGTTTAAAAACCAGTAAATCTTGACCTCACTTACTGTTTGTATAAAAGGTTCTAGTGTCTCACTGGTCTTGACGATAAGATCCTTAGCGAGGGAGTATGCGTGCTTGTGTTCCCTCTTGTTTGGTTCCACCAGGTTCATCAGGATCACATTCAGCAGCTCGTTGGAGACCACATCTGACTCCGTGATGAGTGGGCAGAGTACATCCAACATGAATGATTTCACCTTAGTTGAATGTTCCGTGCTGTAAGATCGTGTATTTATTAATTTGTTTGTTATTTCAAACAATTCTTTACCATTAGGAAGATACTCACTAAATAATATAGGCTACTAGCTTTCGTCCGCGACTCCGTCCGCGTGGTATTAAAAAAAACAAAACCAAGTAGCATATGTGTTCTTCTAGACTATCCTCTATATGTATGCCAATTTTCATTGAGATCTGTTCAGCAGTTTAGGCTACAAACTCTAACAAACATCCATCCATTCATCTATCCATCCATCTAAACTTTCACATTTATAATATTAGTAATTAGTATAATAATATAAAGGCTATGGCCTAAAAGATTCTAATCTATCTTACTATTATAAAGAGATTTCTATTTTTGTATGTATTCGATTCACGTAAAAACTACTGGGCTGATTTCAAAAATTCTTTTATGATTAAAAAGGTATTTTATCACTGTGTAACATAGGCTATGTTTTTTAATTTCAAGCGGGCGAAGTCGCGAGCAACAGCTAGTAAATAATATGTTAACAAGAATTTTTCATGCCTATGAGATTCTATATATAAAAATCACATATCAGACTACACTCAGTGTCATAAAGTATAATAGATCATGCATTTTGACTTCCAGTTCAGAAATGGAGTATGATTTTCTTAAAAATTAGAAAACTCATAATAATTTAGAAAGTATCTTTGTTGATTAAAGGTAGGCAACGCATCTGCTATTACGGAAGTCTATGGGCATCGGTAACTTCGCTATTTCAGCGAATTCAGGCTTACTCGAAAAATCTACAGTAAACGACTATTTAAATAAACATTAACCGTCTCTGTGTGCGGCATAAAGAATTCAATCAAAACTTTACAAAGAATACAAACACATTCCCACTCACTTGACTATCTTGAACATTAGTGAGAAGAGTGCGCAGAATATTTCCTGACAATCTTCCAGTTCAAAGCACATGTTAAAAGATTTGACATATGCAAGGTTCTCAAGTAGATAGAAGTAGCGCTTGAAGGCTGGATCCTTGGGATCCCGTAGACCTTGCAGCTGGTTTATCAGGAACAGAAATATTGTTTTCACCTAAGAAAATAGAGTCATAAAAAATCATGCCTTTCATTTGAAATAATAATTCTCGGATATTTTGGAAGATCTTGACTTTATGTACAGTAACATACAAAGTTTGTACTGGCTCGGCTGTTTCCCGTTGGGCTGATTGGTCGATTAACAGTTGCTAACATAGCTGCGAGCACAAATTTACGTAATAGAGTGCTAAATGAGCCTTCTGATAGTATTGCTTTACATCCTGCCAATACATAAAATTGTGTACTGTGTTAGATAGCGAGCCACTATTAACTTTGAATCGAACTATACATTTAGATTATTCGGAAGTATACCTGTTCCTGGTCTTTATACGGTGCTTCTGGAGCATAAACTCGGAGCACATCAGCAATACAGCACGCTATCAACAGCTGGACATCACGCGATGGGTGCGTGAGGAAGAACTCGTCCGCCAGGTGTATCGCCAGCGGTATATATTGCTGGTACATTCCCTCATCTTGACCTAGACCTTGCAGAGTATGGGCCAAAGCCTGCAACAAGTTGTACTATGTTAACACATATAATGCGACCATTAAACTTCGAAGAACAAGTCGTTGGCAGTTAAAGTGTTTAAATTGTCAAATAACTAAAACTACAGTTTACGTGTACAACTTTAATATAAATTAATTAAGAGTTTCGTTATCTATACCCCTCCTCTGCCTCCCTACTGAGAGGCATAGGTTTTCCTTAGACATGTGCAGGTTGAATCAAGATCCTTTGCCGTAAGAACTAAATTTACAGTCGCGTAAAGTCGGTCTTCCACTTACAAACAAATTTAGAAGCTGTATCCTTGCGTACTATATATTCAAAAGACTCAGGGTCTGTCCCACCACTAGCTGATAGAGGCTCAGATAGCTTAAAAATGACACTGTCACTGTCACTGTCAGATAAACTAACAAAATCCGAATTTCCATCACAAAGTTTACAGGTTGAATTATTATTACACAATATACAATTTGGTGGGATAGGCCCTAAAGCTTTTAACCCTTAATTCGATTTTTAGGAGTCATATTTTTGGATATGAAATAAACTAGTTCAGTAGATTTTTTTAATTAGTCATTCGTCACACTGACACTATTGAGTGTTAAGGTACACTGCCAAGTTCCCCGACTGTACATATGAAATTGGAAATTCGCTATTTATGATGAATGTGTTTACATTGAACCACCGACCATTGATTTTAGGGTTTATTTGAATACATTTAATAAGCAATAACAAGTTAAACTTAACATTACATTGGAGTACTTCACAGAAGTGGAGGTCGCGTAAAATAGGTCACGTATGTCCGGCTTTTTCACTCCTTGCATATATTATGTGAGGTAAATTGGATTCATTATATTATTTTATGGATAAAGGGACATAGAATAGACAAAGAAATACACTTCGAAAGTAAAAAGTAATCAAAACCCCTTATAACAACGCATATTTAGAGTGCGCACACCTTTGACTATACTTTCGCACATGTGATTGTTTAAAATCGAGTAATGTGCGCACCTCAAATAGGAATCAAAGCTAGACTAAACGGTTGTGCGATAATTTAGTTTCAATGCGCACACTCTTATTCTTTCTAACCGATACGACACAGTTGTGTCTTCATACTATAACATTCTGATTGCTTTCAGATATCCGAGGCTTTAAGTAACTCGGTTAAGAAAACAATTGAAATGCGAATTAGTATTCATTTATGTATCTATGTCGATATATCGTTACATGGGCATACAAGTTTGGCAACTGAGAACTTAATAATGAAAAAAAAATCTTTATTTGTTTTTTAATATCGAAGATCCAATGGCCTAATGGTTAAAGGTATCTACGGATTTGGATTACGAGGTCGCTTGTTTGAATCCCGTCATTCGAATATTGTTGTAAACCATATGCTAGCAGAAGCCTACAGATTACCTAAATTAAAAAAAAAGTTATAATTTAAAAAAAAACTTCAATAATAATAATCTGTACTAATAATAAAGAAGAAGAAACTCCTGGGTCGATTTTAAAAATACTTTAAAAAAGAAAGGTAATTTATCTGTGAGTAACATAGGCTTATTTTTTAATTTCACGGGGACAAGGCGTAACAGCTAGTCTAATAATTAGAAATTACGTAAGCGTTTTACATATTTATTACCATCATCTAAAATTTATCATACTAATATTATAAATGCGAAAGTTTAGATGGATGAATGTTTGTTCGAGTTTGTAGCCTAAACGGCTGATCGGATTTCGATGAAATTTAGTATAGATGTAGAGGATAGTCTGGGAGAAAACATAGACTACTCAATTTTGTTTTTTTTTTTCCACGCGGACGGGGTCTCGAGCGAAAGCTAGTTTATAATAATTTACAGATAAAGAATAATTGCATAACATATAAATAACGAACTATTATGTTTTATACATAAGAAAACATACCGTTTTCAGATCAACGAACCGGAGAGTAATGATTATCGCTAACATGTGGCATAGAAACACGCTATTTATAGCAGTTATCGCGTTAATAACGTAAACCAGTTGATTTTCATACTAAGTCAAGGCCCGTTATTAACAACATAGTGACATGAAAAATAAATTAGATCTTCGGAATAACGAAATCTTATTTTTATTGATATTTTAAATTATGCGTTCGTTTTTTAACGTGCCTCTGTTAAAGTAAAACCGGTACAAAAATGAAAAAAACAAATACATTTTCCCTTGTTTTTTTTTTATAAAATCAATACGAATATTAACATAAAATACAACCCGTCCTACATTTTTTTATACATTTTAGTATACTTTGTCAAACAAACTAAACGAAAAAAATCTATTTATTAGCGTCGCCAAAAGAAAGCTGCCTACCTTTTAAGACAATAAAAATCTTACTATCTCACTAATATTACAAATGTGAAAGTGTAGATAGATGTGTGCTAAAGTTTAGTCTAACTACTGAGTGGATGTCGATGAAATTCGGCGTAGATGTAGAAGATAGTCTGAAAGTACACATAAGCTACTAGTTTTATTTTTATTAATTCCACGATGACGGTGTCGCGG